TTTCGGAAACTTTTCCCAAAAAAAACATTACCTAATGTGTGTGTTATGTAATTTTTTAAAAAAAACAACGTTTTTTTTATCGATTTTGAAATTAAAATCATGCTGTTCATGTAAAAAAACATCATTACATCATCATCATCATCGTTGCATGAATCAAATCAGCAAAAAGAAAATTATACAGGTAAAAAAAAACTTGAATGTGATATATGTATAGACAGAGACTATTTGCACACAGGTGTGTCCCATCATTTTGTTGATAATAATAATAATAATGTTTATCCCATAAAGTATTTCGTTTTTTTGGAGGATTAATGGCGATTGATTTTTGTTTTACTGTTTTTGAGAATGTTGCATGCTTTGCCCTTTTTTTATTATCATCATCATCATTGGAAAATTGGTTCATTATGGAAAACAGTAAATTAATCTATTTACTATTTTGAAAAACATAACATCAAACAAGTAGTAGATCAAACTTGAAGAAAGTTTCTTGGAAATTTTCCCGAAAAAACTTTCTATAGACACAGATGCTTTTAATTTGTTTTTTATTTGTTTGTTTTTCGTATTGAAACAACAAAAAGAAAAAACAAATTAAACGATCTTCATGTGAAAAGCAAGATTTTCTTCAATCGTTTTTCTTCGAAAGAAAAACTCTTTCATTAAACAAACTAAAACGAAATAAATCTAGATCATCATCATTATTATCGATTTGATTTGGTCAGGTAATTTTGTTTTGTTTTTTCCATCGATGATCATTGATCAATTTTTTAAAAACAAACAATTTAATGGAGTGGAAAGGATTAATTAATGGATCATTAAAGTTTTTTACAAGGGAAAAATCTAATGGATCTAAAATTAGACAAAACCAAAGATTATTATTATGTAATTTGAAAAAAAGGAGAGCGAGAATCATTTGAATTTGTTAAAAATGAAAGAAAACGCGTGCCACGCACACACGCAACACCGAATGCGCTAGCTATAATCACAAAAAACACGCGCAGTTTCTGATCTATAATCACATCGCCGACGTTTATCGGTTTAATTGTTGTCCAAGGTTTTTTTTTACTTTTGTTTACTCCTCCCCATTTTCAACTAAAATGATACAATCCTTTGATGATGATGATGGATCAAATTGATCATCAATGAATGAAATTGTCATGTCAAATGGTCATTGACCATTGAACATTATTATCATCATCATTGAATTCGAATTCGAATTGAGCATGACAAATCTGTTTTGTTTTGTTCAAATTTCGTCATCAAATTTTTCAAATTTTCTTTCTTTCTTGGTTCGAATCATCATCCGCATCAATTTTCAATGACATTCTCAACAGAAAACAACTATGGAACATTATTGTTTTCTGCTGTACTGAATCTATGTCACTGCTGATTGGTCAGCAGCATCAAATGACATCAATAATGATGCATAGTGTGTGCAAGAAGATATGATGGGGGAGGAAACTAAATTTGAAAAAACGGGAACAAAATGAGCGCATGCGCATATTTCTGGGCGTCATCAATCAACATCATTGTTGAAATTAGACAAAAGAAAATCACAAAAACGTAATGCACAATAAACGATGCTGATGATGGCCACACACAAACACAAGCCACACACTTTATCAAACAAAAAAAGCTTTTTTTGCACGAAAAAATACTAGAAAAAAATCAAAAAAAACATAGAAGAAGCTAAAAGCAAAATATATTTTGCATAATTTGATTTGGAAAAAAATTAAACAGTATAACCGTGACTGGATGAAAGTCATTGATAAATGATTTGAATGAATGAATGAATGGCGAAATAAAGCGAAAAGTTTGTTTTTTGAAAAAGTTTTCCTGGAAAAGTTTTTTTTTGGAAAGTTTTTCTTTCCATTCATAGGTCATCATTGTTCATTGAATGGATTTCTTTTTTCTTTGAAAAAAATTCTTTGAATGAACAAAAAAAAAATGATACTTTTTTTTGAATTCAAAAGATGCTAATTCGTGATGCTAAAAAACTCTAAAGCTCGAAATAATAATTACGATATCCAAAACAGTAGAAAAAATGAAATGTAACCAAAGGCCAACAAAAAAAAAACGATTTCAGATAAATTTTCTTTTTCTTTTTTTAAATTTTTCATCAAAAAAATCAAAAATCAAAATTAGATCAAAAATCATAATGTAGCACTATGATTATCATCATCATCATCATTATCATCAGGTAATTTTCTGTCTGTCTGTCTGTCTGTTTTATCATCATTAAAAAAAATGGCCATTATCGATTGATTACTGAAAAAAATAATCATTTAAAAGAAAGATCTTTTGATGATGATGATCATCATCATCAAAAGATAATGATCATTATCAACTGAAGAGATATACCACCACTGCTACCATCATCATCCAGACATTCCCAAATCCATGGACATTCTTCTTAAGCATCTTTGTCATCATCATCATCATCATCATCATTATAATCGTTGTTGTTAGATTTTTATTTTTTCTTTCGTTTTCGGTAGCATCAAACATTTTTTGTTGTTGTTGTTGCCCGAAACAAACAACAACAAAACTGGTTTTCAACAACAACAACAACAACATTGCCGACAACAACAACAACAACCAGAAGCTGCTTTCGCTTGTAAAGATGCTACCCGTGTTGTTTTTTTTGTTGAAAAAAATATTGGAGGCGTTGACGATGGAGGGGGAGAAAGAGGGTGGCACCGAAAAAAACAGACAACCTGAACATTATTGGACAACCAAAACGAAACGAAACAAAAATCTAATCTATCTTCATCATCATCATCATCATCATCATCTAACCTAACCTTCTTATCTACCTAGATCTTTTACCCTCCTTACTTACTTGAATTTAACCAAAGATTACACGCAATTTTTTTGCTTGCCAGCAAGGGAAAAAAAATTCTCACGCACGAATTTCATTTTATCTTTCGTTTTTTTTTCGTTAAGATTTTCTTCTTCTTCTTGAAGAATGAAAAGAAAGAAAAAAGAAATAAATTTTACAAAAAGAAAAAACATCAAAATGATTTGTAATTTTTCATGATCATCATGTTTGTGATCTTTGAGATTTTCTTTCTTTTCATCTTTGGTGATAAATAAGCATCAGGAATTTTTTTTTTGTTGAAAAAAGGAATATGAGAAATTTTCCCGGAATTTTTTTCCGGGAAATTTCTCTATTTCCACTTATGTAAAATTAGCCAAGTTTTATTTTTCTAAATTAATTAGACTAATTTTCTTTAAAAAATAAAAAAATAAAATTAATTTCATGTTCATCACCTGCATAAAACAACGAAAGTGACAGGGAATTTTTAACTTTTTGAAAAAAATCAAAGGTATTTTGTTGTTGTTGATTTGTTGATGGAATTTTTTTCGAAAAGAATCTCTTTGAAAATGAAATAAAATGTTTTTTAAAACACAGAAACAGACATTCAATGAAATCAAATGAACTTTTGATATTCGTTTTTTGTTGTTGTTGTTGTTTGGAATTTTATTACAATTTCACTTTTTTTCTTCTGTCTTCTGTCTTCTGTCTTCTTCTTCTGATGATAATGATTATGAGGATGGAAGGACATTGGTCGATTGTCCGATTGCGTGTTTTTTTTCGCTTGAATCTCTGAAGAATGTACAAATATTCAACAACAGCAGCAAAAATTCATAATTTTCGCTTTCGACATCAGAATCACAAATGAAAAAAAATCTTGTCATTTTCCATATCTTCTCTACCATCAATTTTTTTTCGAGAAAATTTCCTCAACAACATCATCATTGTTGTTGTTGTTGTTATTCGAGAACAACAACAACAAGTAATTTTTTTTAAGGACAGATGCAGAAAATTAAACGGTAGCTCACAGAAAAGAAAAACGCACGCACCTGCTTATTATTTAATGATCATCAACAACAACAACAACAATAACATCATCAAATCATTAAACAACAACAACAAAATTCGATGATGAACGAATCAACAAAATAATAATAATAATAATAAACAATCGATAGATTCGTACATTACTTTTAATAAAACGAATTCTTTTTTCCCCCCAATAAACACATCCTTACACACAGTTTAATGTTGTTGTTTTTTTGTTTGGATGTAATTAACTCTCTTGATGTTTGAACTTTGAATTTTTCTATTTAGTAAAATTCTTCAGTCAGTCAGTTTTTGTCAATTACAAGTTAATTTCCTTCTCTCTCTCTTCGTTTGTTTGTTTTGTTTGTGTGTGTTTATATCGCGAAAATCAAATGAAAAAATCAAAATCAAAATCATTATGATGCTGATCATCATGTAATAATGATAATTATCGAAACAAACAAACAAACAGAAAACAAATCGATTAACTTCTTTTGACGGCAACGATTGTTGTTTTGGTAGTTTTTTCTTGAATGGTAATATGGATTTCTAATTGCTTTCGATTCATCAATGTTTTTTTGTTCGGCTTCTTCTTTTTCTGTTTGTTTGATCAAATATTCCGACCAAAAAACACACATTGACAAACATTCATTGCAGTTCATCCATCAAATGGCGCACACACACACACGCGCGCATAATAATCAGAAAAGTTTGGCAACAAATAAACAAAATGAAATCAAAACTTTGATTTTCAAAGAAACATTTTTTCTGTTGATTCTATCGATATGTGTGTGTGTGTGTGGCAAAAATTCTGTGATTCTGTGTCGGTGTGTGTGGCCTATGCAAAAAAAAAACTATTTTAACCCGACACCCATATGTTTGTTTGTTTGTTTTTTGTAAATTTCCAGATAATTCTGTTGTTTTATTGATGTTTTAAAAGATCACAGAAAAATAATAATGATCATTATTCAAAACAAAATGTAAACATCAATAGCGGCTGAATCAAATGAAAAGAATCTTTTTTTCACATTTGAAAAAATGCCGCTATTTCTACCCACCAAAAAATGAAATGAAATGGATCATTTGAAAAAAAAGATTCCGAAAATATTTTTTTTTGAAAGAAATTTTGCCGAAAAGTTTTTTTTTTAATACTTACATCATCATCATTTAATAATGAATAAACATCTAAACGATCCAAACGTATTGTACCTTGAAATGGTAAAAAACATGTACCTTTTGGTATCGATTGATTACTATAAACACAAACACCAGTTTCTGATTCGGTACGTTTTTCTGTTGCATTTTGTTGACGATTATTATTCTGATGATGATTATGGTGATGATGGTGATTTTTTAAATTTTTCAATCCATTCAACAAATGTAGATATGAATCTTTTGCCCTCAGCATTAGGCTAAATTCCGATGGTATTAACACGCAGGTTTCCATTTTTTTTCTTTGCTTCAGAATTTCCTTACGAAATTTTCAATCAAACAGAAAAACAACACAAAGATTTTCACTTGAAATGAATATTTTCACTGTTATAAACAAACAACGAAAAAAAAACAGATTTTTTTCTCGCCAGTTCATAAAATCAAAATCAAATCGATTCGATTGATTGATTGATTGATCAATTACATCATCATCATCATCATTGGCACACCCAACAATATGACACACACCACACACGTACGCACATTGAATTCGAAAATTACAAATCGATGATGAAATCGAAAAAAAAATCAATCTCAACTCAGAAGCTTGAAACAATAAATAAAAAAAACTATTTCGATCCAACCATATCACACATGTGACACATTTCACACAGGATAAACACTGAAAAAACACGGTATCATCGGTATATTCGGTAAGTTTTTGTTTGTTGATTGAAATTGGACTACTTTTGTGGCCGATCAAATCGATGATAATGATGATGAAAAAACATTGAACATTTACGAAAAGATATAAAGCATATCATCAACAACAACAAATGAATGAATGGTTCACTATGAATGATGATGATGGTCGATCGTTGTTGATGATGGTGGTGGTGGTGGTTGATCATCATAAAGATCATCATCATCATCTACATCAGTATCAGTGAATGATGATGATGGTGGTAGTTGTTTGTCGATGATGTCGATGATGATGATGGTATTTAGTTTGTGATGGCGGCATTCTCTCTTTTTTTTCAAGCTTGTTCTTTGTTTATTTCTCTCTGTTTCTCTCTCTCTCTTTCGCTACATTTACCTTACCTTTTTCTCTCTCTCTCTCTCTTGATTTACGAAGAAAAAAAGGTGGAGCCTAATCGTTTATTATTATTTTTTTCACCTTTTTTTTCTAATTTCTAAGGAAATCTGGATATGGAGAAAAATTTGGATGAAAAAAAAACATAACAACAACAACAACAGTAACAGTAAAGTGCATTTTTTGCGCGTACTTTTATCATATTTTTGGCAATGTACTGTATGTGTGAATTGTTGGAAATATGCACCGCCCCCTATTTTTTCCATTATCCATAATGTTATTTTATGGGTTGGTCCTAATACGCCCACACACACACATATTATTGGTACATATTGATAATTGGCTCCTCCCATATTTATTTTTGTTTTGTTTATATCAACCAATATGACACACACACACGTTAGTTTTCCTAATGGCGCCTTATTGATTTCATCATCGATTTTAGTTTGTTTTCAAGTTTTGTTTGGTTGTCGCCCAAATCAAACAACATATATGGTGTCTTTCTGGTTTTTTTCCTATTGAATTTCAAGATTTTTTGTTTTTGTTTTTTGGGAGCGAAAAAAAGGGCGATAATAATATTGATTTCTGAATTGAAATGAAATGACATTCAATTCAATTCAGCCTACCTGTAAATATGAATTTTTCCATTCATATTTTTTCATATTTTCATTCAATCTTATCTCTTCGATTACGTAGGCAGTAATTACATACATACAACTGTAACTACAACATCATGACATTTGACATTTATGTATTCATTGATACAAAACGAAAAATTCACAAATGATGTAATCATTTTTTGATAATTTCGTTTTTCTTCTTCATTCATTCAGTTTGTTTTTAATCACCAGGATTAATTTCAATGAACGAAAAATGTCATCATCATCAAATGATTTTGTTTCACTCAATTGTTTTGTGTGAAATGAATGATACAGATAAAATTCAGAACAATGATGATGGCTATTTCAACATCACACTATTATCATCCTTTGTCAATTGTTTATGTATGTTCGACCTTGACACCTTAGATAACAAATTGACAAATTTTTTTTTTGTTAAAGAAGAAAAGATGTTCCATTTTATCTCTAGTTTCACACACAAATAAACACACCTTGTTGATGATGATCATCATCATTATCATCAAGATGACAAATTTACGTTTTTCTCCAACTTTCAAAAGGTTGCTCTATTTTTCAAGCAATTGAAAAGGTAATTTGTCGCCTACGTTTTCATTGATGATGAGAACTTTGGAATTTTTTTTTGCTGACAAAACACTTTCACTTGACAAAGAACATAGAAAATGAAAAACTTTTCGCAAATTTTCGCTTTTTTATTATGTGAAAATGTTTCTTTTCTCAAAAATTTCTCAAAATAAGCCTATTTTTTTCGCCAATTCCATTCAAATTTTTTTCAAAGATTTATTCATATCACTTTTGCGTGTGTAGGTGGATAATCATCATCATCATCCATAATCACAGCCTAATGACAAAAATGTTTCAATTGAATTTTCAACGAAACAAAAACCAAAAGCAGAAAAAAAACTATTTCCACCCAAATCGCTCGCACACAGACAATATTCACATTTGAAAGTTTTAAAAAATTTTGAATTTTTTTTTTTTGAATTTTCCAAAATGAAAATGTTTATTTAATTAATCGATAATTTCGAAGAAAAGAAAATCAATCAAAAATCAATTTTCACTTGTTTCTCAAAAACAAACGGACAAGATTTAAACTAAATCGGTTTTGTTCGTTTTTTTTCTTCTTCAGTTTTTAGTTTCTTGCTTTAGTTTACTTTTTTTGGGTTAATCTGTTTTGATTATTGTCAATCGGATTGTTTTACGAAAAATAAAGTTTTTGCATTGAAAAATCAAATCAATTTCAATTCAATTTGAATCAAATTGATTTTCATTCTTGTCAAGTTTTGTTTCTGTTGTTTGTTTTACTTTTGGTTAATTCGATTTAGTTGTATGTGATGAAATCACACACAAACAGAGGCAAAACGAAAAGCAAAGCAAAACAAAAATGTTATGTAATCAAAAGCAAACAAACAAAGAAAAAATCCGATCAAATTGAAATCTACCATCATTAAAAATCATTAACATTTAATGGTGGATGGACAGATTAGATTAGATTAGATTGAAAACAATCGATTGATCAACTGATAATGATGATGATGACAATCAGGTGATCAAGTTGTTTGCTGCTTTGTGTTCATTTTGGTTTAAAACTAGATTGATTTAAGTGAATTTAGTGAATGATGATGGCGAGGATTTTTCTTCTCATTTGTGGCCAATCGTAAATGGTTAACCGTAATTTGGTTGCTCATTAAGATTTTCGTTGTTTTTTGTTTTTAGACAAGAAAAACTTTTGGATTTGTTTGTTTTTATCTGAAAAAGATTAAAACGGATTAGAAACGTTTCAAAACAATACAAAACAATTCAATGATTTATGAATCGTTTGAAGAGAAAAATCATTCGATTTGATTTCTATTTTGACCAGACAAGGTCAAAATAGTCGAAGAATTTTTCATTGTCGGCATCGATTCTCTGACTTTTAGACATCCATATCGATAATTAGATTTGAATTTTTTAAAATTTTAAATTTTCTTCGTAAACATCATCATTGAACATTGCATATGACCTATCCGATATCCAGATATATTGATTAAATTATACCGATGATTTTTCATTTTTTCTCCAAAGTAAAATATATTTGTGTGTGTGTGTTTCTTATTCAATCGATTCGATCAATCAAATTGATCAAATTGATTGATCTTGTAAAGTCATCATCATCATCATCAAATCCTATAATTAAATATTTGATGTAAACAACATTTTCAAAACTAGAAAACTTCTATTTTTTCTTTCGATACGCGTCATGAATATATTTTTGGTCAAGTAAAGTGAATGGTGAAAATATTTTTTTGGCCAAAAAATTCCAATTTTTTTCCAATATGAATTTCAAATTGATAATAATTATCGTCGTCATCGTCATTGAAAAAACATTGAAAAACTTCAAACTGCAAAATGATTACTTTGATTTCTTTTTTGCTTTCTTGACGATCATAAATATGTTTTTATATTTAAAATGAAAAAAAATTTCATTTTAAAAAACAACTAATTAAATATCATGCATATATGGATCATGTAGATCAGATTTTTGAATCAATGAGAAGATGGCCAGAAGGTAAAATCAAATCATAATCAGTTTTTTTTTCTCAAGTAGTAAATGATTCTCAGGTAATCTTGGTTTTTTGTCGTGATGTTTGAACCAGAAAGAAAAAACAAAAACAAACTGATTCTGATGATTGATCATTTTTCAATTGAAATTAACTAAACTGACTTTGGTGTGTGTTGAATTGAAATTGGATTTTTTCTTAAAACAGAGAAAAAAATTTCGTTTAGCTACTTGTCTTGAAAATCGATTTGTAATCTACATGTGATATTCAACAACAACAACAACCAAAATATCAATTGACTTTTGACCAAATGGTCAAAAGTCAAAGACTACGATGATGATGATGATCGTTTGTTTTTTTTTTGAATTTCTCTTTTTCGTTTTTTTCCTGACACAAGATGAATTGGATGTTGATGATGATGATGAAAAATTCAAATTGAAAGATTCATTTCAAGAACAATTCATTCATTCAATTCTAATGTCGGCTCTACTGAAGATGAAAAAAAAGTCAAAGAGAGAGAGAGAGAGAGAGAAAGAGAGAGAGAGAGAGAGAGAGAGAGAGATTGAAAATGAAAGAAAATTAATTACTTTCACGAACGTTCGTTGTTTCGTTTGAATTGGTCATTGATCAATTTCACTGACTCAGTGAAAACTAAAACTCGCACACACACAGACAACGACAACCACAAGAAATTCTTAATTTTTTTTCATTTGATATCGATATCGATGATGATGATGATGGTTAAAAAAGCTGAAAGTATCGAGAGAAAGATGGAGAAAAAAGTCAGCAAATTCAATTCAGTGATTATATAAATTATTATTGTCTGTCTGTGTGTCCATGTCTTTAATCTTTTTTCTTGGTTAGTTGTTGTTTTTGGGCCTCACAATTTTTTTCTTGAAGAGTTTAAGGTGAAAATAAACTCATCTTAATCAGTTTTTTTTTTTTGGTTTGTTGTCCAGAGGTAGATTCCGATTGATTAATTAATCTCTTAGTCTTTTTTTTGTTCAGGTAGATTTCAGGTAATATTTGATTACACAGAAGCAGTAGCGAGTGAGAAAGAAAGCAAAAAAAAAAAAATTAAGAAATTAGCGAAAATGATGGCAGATGGAATTTTTACCTGTGTGTGTGTGTGTGTGTGTT